GAAGGAAGGCAGAAAAGAAGACAGACAGGGAGGACGACAGGAAAGAAAGAAGGAAACAGGAAAGGAAGGAAGGAAAGAGGGAGCGAGGAAGGCAGGGAAGAAGACAGGAAGGAAGGAAGGAAGGAAGGAAAGGAAGAAAGACAGGAAGGGGACGTCAATTTCCAAACAATGCCAAGATGAGGCAGGAAGCTTTCCGCGGACGGTCCAAGTGGGCTGGGCGCCGCATCCGTGTGAAACAAGAGGTGCTCAGACGAGAACGTGGGAGCCCCTCGCACTCTCCTGAGGGGGGGGGGGAGAAGGAGGATCGCGCCGCCACTCGAGAGGAACGGCAGATAAACCTCCAATCGAAGGCATCCTGAAGTTCCCCTACGGTTCTGGTTGAGGACCCCCCCCCCCCCACCCGGCGTTCCTTAATCCTCCTCTTCCTCCACTCCCCCCCCCCCCTATTCTCTTCGTGCTCCGCCTTCCCTTCTCTACCCCCCTCTCTTCGTTCTTTTTTCCCTTCCTCCCCCTCTTCCTCCTCCTTCTCTTCTCCCTTTTCATCCTATCCTTCTCCCTCTATTCCATCCTCCTTTTTCCCATATTCATCATCATTTCCTTTCCCTTTGTGTCACATCACTGTATTCCACTTCTCCCTCTTCTCCTTCATACCTCATCAATCTCCTGCTTCTCCTCATCATCATCATCATTATTATCAATATCATCATCCTCGTATTCACGTTCTTACACCTCGTCCTCCTACATTTCCTCCTACCCTAGCCCCTCCTCCTCCTCCCTTCCCCCACCTCCTAATCCTCCCCTCCCCTCCCCTCCACCTCCTAATCCTCCCCTCCCCTCCTCCTCCCCCTGCCCTCCCCTCCTCCTCCCCCTCCTAATCCTCCCCTCCCCTCCTCCTCCCCCTGCCCTCCCCTCCTCCTCCCCCTCCTAATCCTCCCTTGCCCCCACCTCCTAATCCTACCCTCCCCTCCCCTCCCCTCCTCCCCTACCCCCCCCCTTCTCCAGATTTACCGGATACACCACGATAAAGAGGAAGAAAGCGATCCGAGGCTAAATGTATCGCGGTTGGAGTCTGACAGAGAGCCGGGGCGTTCCAGCTTCCCAAGGGCGGAGCCGGTGAAATATGAGGGGTGTACTTACCTATAGGTTATGAGGGTGGGGGGGAAAAAAAGAGCCATACAGGTGGCGCTAAGAAGGAAATATGGCGACGGTGGTTACGCGTATAGAGATGTTATTGGAGGACCACCTACAAGGGGCGAGGGAGTAGAAGCATTTGTGTCGTATGCGAGTAGATGCACCCATGTGGTACGTGGGTTTGGATTACCATGTGGTCTGGGGTTGAAACGAGACACCCAGGTGGCGGAGGGTGGAGACATCACCTAGATCATGGGGGTCGAGAGGGGAAGGGGGAGGGAGAGGGAGAGGGGAAGGGGGAGGGAGAGGGAAGAGGAAGGGGACGGGGAAGGGGGAGGGAGAGGGGAAGAGGAAGGGGACGGGGAAGGGGGAGAGGGAGGGGGAGGGGGAGGGGGAGGGGGAGGAAGAGTGGAGCAGGAGCACAGGAAGCGCGCACGACAGCCAACCGAGTCGTCCCCCCTCCCCTCCCTCCCGCTCCCCCTCCCCTGTGCCTCCTCTCGAGATGAGCCGATCGCCCCGACGTACCTCGCAGGCGTCGCAGCCGGAGGAGGAGAAGAAGGAAGTGGCCCTCGACGCCCTGTCCCTGGTGACGGCGACCTGGCAGCGCAGGTGGCCGGGACAGCTCTCGACTGGACCGGACGCAACGGGAGCAGAAAAGAGGCTGAGGAACAAGTTTGGACAACTTCTCCCCTTCCTCTCCCCTTCAGCCCCCTCCCTCCTCGGCCTGCCCTCCCCCATAGCCCTCCTCCTGCTCCTCCCGTCGCAAAACACGACCTACCGACGTCCCTTCAGACACTACTCCGGCGGCGCGAGATCAAATAACTGGTCAGCTAAGATGAAAACCCGGTAACTCGTGGCGCTGTGAGCTGATCATACACTTTCCCCTCTCGGCTCCGGCAGATGTACACGTGCTTGGTGTTCTGTTCCTTATAAGTCTGTCTCTTTTTCCATCCCCCCCTCGCCGATGACTAATCCATGTAATTAATAAAGAAGTATCGATTCCAGTGGCTATTTTTTTTCTCTCTCTCTGTTTCTTTTCTCTTTTGCGGGTACTCTCTCGCTCTAGATACATCGTTAGGCACTTAATGTTCTTATGCTTTGCAAGACCATATTAGGAGTACCCATACCCTGGGCCTTATGTTTTTGCCTAATGGACACGCGCAAGTTCGATAAATCCCATCGGCTGCCACCATATGACCAATACACCCAAATATTGAAGTTAATAGCCTCATCTACAAGTTCTAAACGCCCCGACGTCGGCCGCAGTGTCTTGCTCGACATGACAGGGTGACGAGCAGATGGCTGTCACGTGCTGCTCACACACGAAGCTTAACGAAATGGCCTGAGCGTGACGTCGCGGCATCGCTTTGGTGAAGGTTGTTACATATGCGTCGTTCAGGCGGAGATAAGTGCGTGCGTGCAAGCGTGCGTGTGTGCGTGCATGGGTGCGGGGAAGACAGGACGGAGACCGATGGTTGACAATCGTGAGTCCACACTTCGGACGGGGAAATTTCGGTTGTGATTTTCACTTTCCCTTGGAGTGTTCTCCGAAAATCGTGGATTGTTCATGGTTTTCACAGTAAAAATAGCATTCTCGCATGTTAAAAACGCAAATATCAGGCCAGGATGATACGACCAACGTGGCGCGCATCACAAATCAGAGCACGTAAACTGGTATTTGTCAAGTAAGCAAAGATCTGGTATGGGCGGCTGCAATCAAGAGAAGGTGGAGAAAGAAAGCAAGAAAAAACACTGGACAGCTGTGAACACGAGCGATACAGAACCCTTTCGAAGTGAACGCAATGCCTAAGAAAGTCCATATGCGGCAGCCGGGAATATGAAGGTTATGTGCTTCCTTATAAGGCAGCTGTCAAGAAGGGGCCAAGAAAGTCCTTGTAAAGCAGCTGTTACCATAAGGGTGAAAACCAGACCCTTCGACAGCTGGAAATATACATGTTGAATAAAGCTTCCGATAACGACTTTAGATAAAATAGACAAGAGAGTGCTATTCACACGGCAGATGTTTGCGTCCAGCCGCCTGCCGTAGGGCATCTATGTACATATAGCTTACAGGGAGGATGACAGCTGTGTACGTATGGTCACGAGTAACAATGCACCTGTGTACGAACAGCCTCGAAGAACAAGGAGACTGTGTACGTATAGCCCGTAGGAACAAGGCAGTCGTGTACACATAACCACAAAAAGCCAAGCAGATGTTTCACACTGCATGCCAATCACACTTGGAAGAAAAAAAGAGACTAAGAGAGTCTTCGGCATAGGGGCAGGGGAGGGAGGCAGGTGAGAGTACAAGTACCCGTGAGTCTGACGTATTTTGAAACTAATGATAGACAGATGCGGCAGAGCTCTAAAATCAGGTCTTCACTCAGTCTGAACAAGTTTTAGGAAAGAATATACGAGAGAGAGAGAGAGAGAGAGAGAGAGAGAGAGAGAGAGAGAGAGAGAGAGAGAGAGAGAGAAGAGAGAGAGAGAAGAGAAAGAAAGAGAAAGAGAAAGAGAAAGAAAAGAGAGAGAAAGCAAGAGATAGAAAAGAAAGCAAGACAGAGAAAAAACAACAACACCAAACAGAAACAAGGAGACGAAGAACAAAAAAAATAAAATAAAAATAAGAAGAAGACCGAACATCCGAAGGAGATGAGATGAGAGCATCGTAAAAAAATTAGCCTCGGGGGAGCAGGTGTAAATAAACAGCGAGGGAGATACGAGAGGCAAGACAGACAGGTGTGCGAGAAGGCCAGCCAGAAAAGGCAGGTGTTCGGGAAGGAGGGGATAGGCAGGTGCTTCTGTAAAATCGACTTAATACTTTTATTTGGTATCAGATTCTATTGGTACTATTTAGGGATTAAAAGTGTGGATTGAAAGAGATTGGTAGCGTTTTTTCCGTCATTATTTCTTAACAATCGGATTAAAGCAAGAATGATGACGACATCAATAGAATCCACAAAAGGCAATTCATGTAATTAATACGACTGGGCAAACCGGGGATTTGATTATTCACACAGTCTCTAATCTGACAATAAAAAATGATACTTCCGCATGAATATTCAGTGCTTAATGTTTAAACCTATTTGATAAAAATAACATGTACTTCTCTAAATACATAATTTCCATTCTCCTGCGATAGAGTAAGAATCGCGCGTTTTCTTCCACGTGCGTCTGCGCACGTGTTTAATAATGTAAATCAATATACCCAAGAATCACACACACACACACACACACACACAAACATATATACATATATATATATATATATATATATATATATATATATATATATATATATATATATATATATATATATGCGTGTGTGTATGTACATACACATACACACACACACACACACACACACACACACACACACACACACACACACACACACACACACACACACACACACATATATATATATATATATATATATATGCATGTATGTATACATATATATACAAATACATACACATGTATATACGAAGGGTATATCTGTGTCCACAGACGTCTTCACGCATAATCCCGCCCAGTCTACAGCAGAGTGCAGCGCGAGGCCTCAGGTTTGCCCGGAGCCTACAACTCCACCAAAGTAGGTATCTTCCCGACCCATGATTTTTACTAAGGTTATCTGCTAGAGGTGCTATGTGTTAATGACCGTAGCTTCACGTTATTGTTAATAGCGTATCTATGTATATGTATTACGTATAAACTCATATACCAAGTTCTTGAGAACATCACACCGCAAAACGAAAGCAGGTTGGAACTGTGGGTATTTGACTGAAATGGTTGAAATTCGTTTAAAAAAACGATATCGAAAATAGCTCCTTAACACGTGAATAATCGAGCACACTACAACACCTTACCTGCAACGACGTGTAGAGAAAGACGAGAATTTCCCTCGGCCACGGACTGCGGCGACGAATGCTCAACAAAAGATGCAAGTTCGGGATCGGACTGGAGCAACAGCCTCCTCTCACCACAGCCAGAAGCGCACTGCGGGGCCCAGTCAGGTGGGGGCGCGGGGCAGGTGAGCGGGTGACGAGGGTCTCCGTGGGGAGGTGGGAGCGGGGGGGATAATGGGTGGGGGGGAGCGGGGAAAGGGGGAGTGTACAGGAACATGGGAAGGGGAAAAGAGCTCGCGCTAATTGAGGAAGCAGGGATTTGATGATAAATATTGACCGGAGGAAATGTGTATGTGTTAGCAAGCTGCTGGCGGAGTAGAGGTGCATTTTTCGCTGTTAGGATTTCACCCGACCGTGTGTTACTCCACACGGAGGAAAGCGGTAATTCCTCGAGTAATACTTCTCTTTCCTCTTCTTAATCCTATTTCGCACGAAAATTCCGAAGAACAAGACACGTCAACGATTCAAAAACCACACGATACCTACAACCACACACACACACACACACACACACACACACACACAAATAACAACCACACCTCTACTTTCCTTACACCCTACAGCCCGTACACACAACCGGCGAATACATATGCTTTAAGGTATTGCATTACTTCAGCATAAAAGGTCAACAACACATGGGGGGGAGGGAGGGAATCAATTCATAGACCTCGATTCTATATCTCACACGCGCAGTCGGGCGGCCAGATGATAGAGAAGGGTGTAAACCGAGAGTATGTGATGGGTGGAACCTGGAACGCCCATCCTCCACCAGACAGGCCAGTCCGCCCATCCCAACATGGAGAATTAAACTGTTATCTGTAAAGAAATTACTAAGATATGAGGCGGACGGAAGACTAGCTCTGCCATATGTCGAAATGGGTTCTTAGTGATTGGGTTTTCTCCTACCAAGGAAGGGGGTTTGCAAATGGTCTGTCTGTCTGTTTGTCTCTCAGTCTCTCTCTCTCTCTCTCTCTCTCTCTCTCTCTCTCTCTCTCTCTCTCTCTCTCTCTCTCTCTCTCTCTCTCTCTCTCTATCCCTCTCTATGTCTCTCTCTGTGTCTCTCTCTCTGTCTCTCACTCTGTATGTCTCTCTCTCTCTCTGTCTCTCTGTCTCTCTCTCTCTCTCTCTCTCTCTCTCTCTCTCTCTCTCTCTCTCTCTCTCTCTCTCTCTCTCTCTCTCTCTCTCTCTATCCCTCTCTATGTCTCTCTCTGTGTCTCTCTCTCTGTCTCTCACTCTGTATGTCTCTCTCTCTCTCTGTCTCTCTGTCTCTCTCTCTCTCTCTCTCTCTCTCTCTCTCTCTCTCTCTCTCTCTCTCTCTCTCTCTCTCTCTCTCTCTCTCTCTCTCTCTCTCTCTCTATCCCTCTCTATGTCTCTCTCTGTGTCTCTCTCTCTGTCTCTCACTCTGTATGTCTCTCTCTCTCTCTGTCTCTCTGTCTCTCTCTCTCTCTCTCTCTCTCTCTCTCTCTCTCTCTCTCTCTCTCTCTCTCTCTCTCTCTCTCTCTCTCTCTCTCTCTCTCTCTCTCTCTCTCTCTCTTTCTATCCTCTGATTGCGTAAGGTTTGTGTATTAATGAATTTTATTCATAAACCGCCATTTATAAATAGCGTTCCCCACAGCCGGCAGTCAATGCTCTATTATTAATATGTACAAGAATAATTATTCATGCATCCAGATCATATAGTATTCGCACAATATATGTAGCAAGAACATTAAAAATTTGCTTCCCACGTGATGGTAACATTCGGCGCGTGGTTGGTCATGTCTTAGAATCATTAAACTGGCCCCTCATGTAGAAGCTAGATGCAACAAGCAATCATTCATGCACAACTTGCATTCAACGACCGACCGCTGAGGTTATAACCAACATTTAACATTAAGAACATTCAAGGCTTACCCCCTCTTGGCTAATAAACATGCAGCCCGTGTTTCCTCATGCAAACAATAGCATAGAGGAGCTCAGGTGTGTGCATGTATCAGTAACATCAAATACCCGCTTTCCTCATGTGCATGGAACATCCAACATTCAGCTTCTTATCATGCACGAACATTTAACACTTGGTCGAACTGCCATGCACGCTAACACATTGGACTTGTCAGGAGCAGTCTATAAAGTTAATTACTAACTAGCTTCACTAACCTTGATATCATAGAGATGTTCTTTTCACTAGAACAACGAGTTTGGTTGCATGCATCGTGATCCCACTCATGCATGCAATAGACTCCTTATCTGTGCTTCAATTTAGAAACTGTTCAGTAATATATTTTTTTTTAACTTATTCTTATTATTTTTACCATTATTTCCCTTCTTTGTGATCTTTAATTTTAATATACAAGTTTAGACTTTTTTTTTATCAAACTTCTCGTTCTGTCGTTTTTTTTCTCTCGGTTTATGCAGTAAAAAGGATGTAAAATATTAGAAAAAAGAGTAGCCACTTTAAGATACAAAGAAGCAGGTTTGCACT